ACTATAAATGAAACACTAAAATCGGAGATTAGCAGCAGTAAGACGTACCAGAAGCAGTGTGGTCTTTGTAGGCATGCCATGTGAAGATTAGGACAGTAACGTGATGGTACCAATGAAGGAAGAGCAGTGGACGCTTGCGTAAAACAATAAAAGCGGTATCCAGTAATTCGGCCACCTGTTTATGAAATGATTTTTATTGAGCTGGGAAAGAAAACTATCTAAAGATGGTGTTCACGCCTCAAAACCCCGGCTTTGAAACGAGAAAATGCAAAAAAGCTCAAGATCATGGCCGAAACATAGGGGTGGGGGGGGGGAGGCGTGATGGTAGGACTAAAGAATCGCGTACAACCAAAGGGATAATTCATCGCGTGCCCCACTCTCCCACAACCACTTCAAGCTCGGTTCATAGCCAACACCGAGCTGTAGAATCGCTGAATCGCAGACAGGGCACGTTCTGCCGCGCCTTGTCCGCGAAAAATTTTTGCAAACCAAGACCTGCACCTCTCAAAATTTTCATTTTTGGTGCGATCTCCCTTCTCCGTTCCTCATACTTACCAACTCCATGAGCTCTCCAACTTCCTTCCTCTTCTCTGGAGTATTGGTGATTTTCCCCAAGAGAACTGCCAGGGGCGGAGGGGGATCTAGAGCACTTGAACCAGGAAAAGTTAAGAACCAAAAACATTTTTCTCATAGGCGACTACGACTCCCCTTGCTGGCGACTCCCAGCGCATGACGTGCCCTAATCGCAGAATCGGGAGAAATAGCAGAAAGACTAGATACGGATCGACTACGTAACTTCTCCACTTAGGCGAGGTCAACGAAATCTATACATGTTTAACATGCTCCTTCAGATTCTTGCAAACAGTCCCCGCTCCATTTCCGTCAGATCGTTCTTGCCATTTAGCCGATCAATAGTGACCAGATTCTTCAGAACAACACTTGTACAGTCCTTACCAGCAACGTGATGTGTGAAATGGTGGTGTCAGTACGACCCCTCCCCATTTCCCCAACACCTACCTAGCACTTCCTACATCCCAGCTTCCTACCAGTTTTCTCCGAAATCTCCCAAAAATTTTCTACTTTTCCCCAAAAATTTTCCGTCGAGCGTAGGGAGGGGGAGAGGGCGAAAGGTAATCAGAAACCAACCATTATGTTCAAGAAATAGTTATATGTATAGAACTTGACGGCGCCACCAACAGTTGTGGAGGGAGGGAGGAAGGGTATATAGTAAATGTGAAAGGGGAAAAATCACGAAAAGTCGGGAAAAATTTCCGTCACGCGGCAAATTTCTCTCAAAGGCACCCCCCCCCCATGTATTTCACACAATGATGCTGTACCGATTCTCTGACCTCTGATGGCATTTTGTATCAACACGGTTCTAGTGCCAGCAAAAGAGCATTTGTACTAACCAAACTGGATAATCCATCAAACACAGCAATTTTTAATTGTTTCACTCCCCAGCTCCAATATATTACCCTGTATTAGAATAAGGCGCATCTTCGAACGCAGACAATTTCTCTTGCTCACTTCAACTTCGCGTGTTCCTAAGTTGATCTTCTCCACATAATCCGCACTCAAAAAGGTGTTTGAAAGCAGTTATAAAAACAAATTATGCAAAAAGACAGGAAAACTGCTGTGTCAACCAACGCTTCGCACGCGATAACGCGTGCGACTGTGCGGAATTGCACCTTATCCCTCAAAAAATAGCGTATTGAAAAATGAACTCGTGACTCCTAAATTAAAATGAGCTGCGATAAAAAACAGCACCCTCCATGGAATGGCGCTCAACGACTGTAGAGGTATCTTTTTCAGAATATTTACAAAGCCTTTTTCATTAATATCTCCACAGCAGTTTGGAATCGACAAAAACCGCACAGCGGCCATTAATAACACGCGTGAACACCACCATGTAAAGAAAAGGTCTCACCTTACTCATAGCGAACTGCTCGGTCCAAAATCCCGTTACACCTTGAGCATACGATGCAGTACATACGGAGTACACAAACGAATTGCTAAAAACAAACCCGATAATAAGTTGCTGAAAAAAGTTTTGCCTCGGCTTCCATCCTTTTTATCGGGATTATTACGGCTGCTGAAAGCATCAGCGGGAAGCGATATAAGTCAAGTAAATCGTAGAGTCTACTAGATAAGGTAGTTAGATTACCCCCGATACGTTGTCAGTAAGCTTGACTTCGCAGCTTCGCAAGTGTTCACAGGTCTCGGCAGAAGTGAAACCTATTTTTAAGCATGAACTATTCGAAAGGAACTGAGCAAAAATAGAAATGCACCTCTCCAAGCCGAACACCGCCGCCTCTTCAAAGGCTTATCTGTGGAAATTTTCACAGCTTGGCTCTCTTGAGCATTATGAAACCAACAGACTTACAGGCGGCGCTCTACTTCGTGACACAGGAGATCGCTGAGTCGGGACAAAAAGAAAATCCCCAGAAAAGGGGAATTTTCCTTTCAATCTGAAGAATCTCAAATAGGGTGAATTTGCAAAAAGTTAGTTTCCACAGTTCATTTCTAATCCTCCAACTGGGCGGAGTCTGAACTTTTCGCAAATTCTCCAATTCTCCCGTTCTCCAGATCGATAGGTATACTTTCCTTTTCTACAACGCTCCAATTCTCCGGCCCTTTGAATCGATACGTAAACCTTCCCTTTCGTGGAATCTTCATTTTCTCGGCTCCACGAGAAATGAGCACAATTTTATCTATTCGTTTCTGTAAACCCAAAAAGTGCTTAAACACACTAAAATACCAGAAATATCCATTAATAGTAGGCAATTACACTTGAAGTAAAGCAAACTTCAAGCGAGCTTGAAGGGTTTTAGCAAATATGATTACTCTGGTTCCCCCCCCCTTTTTAAAAAAAAGCTGCAGGAGAGTGTAGAAGAGGTGGAGCAGTGTATAAGCCTATTGGACGGGAAACGAAAAAAAAATCAACAACCGAAAATTATTTTCTCACAAAGCCAAATACGGTTCCTCGTTTCAGTGGCACTCCCTTCCCAGGGGATTCCCAGCATGTGGCGTGCCCTGCTACCCCCATACTATCGAATTTCAGTCAAAGCCATCGATCATCGGAGATCAAAACACTTGGGAACTTGATGTGGATGCGGCCTTGAGGAAAGTGGTGGCAGAGAAAATAACGATATGTATCCATGTTGAGCACTTCCTTTCCTTCAGACTGATCACTCGAAAAAAAACACTTCTTCGTTCTAACACGATAAATCGACATCGGAAACGAAGACTGAACGTCACAGGTGAAAACTGGTGCTACTCGCTCAATCTCAGAACTTTCACATCTCGCTACTTCGAAATTTTATTAAAGCAAATATTATCACAAGAATGCTGAGATGTGGGCAGAAGTCGTGCCCCAGCGGGAGTACTGAACGCACCTCACGCTTTCCGGTTGAGTGCGCTATCCGTTAGGCCGCGTTCATACATGACGACGTTGTGGAAATGACGGAAATTGCGGAAAGGAAATGCATACGTATCGATTTGAAAACTGCATTTCTGCAAATTCCGCGGAATTTGCAGAAATGCAGAAATGACGGAAAAAGAAATGATAGGGATCGATCGGTTCGTTCCTGCCGTCGTGCGGTAAACATATACGATCACCCGTTAGGGATCTCCTACCTACGACGTGACCTTGGTTAGAGAGTGACTTCTCAGGCCACCTTCATACTTCACCGCTCCAGCGAGTCAGTTGTGCAACTGTGACTGAACGCGCTCGCCCGCTAATCGTTGGACCGCTGCAAAGTTTAAACAGGTCCATCCTGTTATAGAGTAGCAGTTATAGCGGTCCAACATTTAGCGGTAGATCGCGGTGATGCAGATTCTCAAATCAAACGACTGAATGGTACGAGACTCTGAGTACAAACCCACATTTAAGCATCTTGAAAATAAACTTACTCGTTCCAACTCCAAAACCATTCCGGTGTCATCCGAAGGAATCCAACCAGGGAGAATATCGCTAAGCCGAGGTTCCATGCAAAAAGCGGCTTCTCCAGACCGAAGGGCTTACGTCCTTCCATGAACTAAACGTGCACGCTTGAGTAAACAAAAATCGTGCGGCGGTCAATAACAGCCGCCTGTAATGATATGAACTCTGAAGAAAACTTCTAAGAAGTATATCAAGCAAAGCCATACTGACCTTTTGTCCGGCATAGATAAGCGCTACGTAGCCGACCGAGAATGAGACGGAATGCAGCCAACTTTCCTGCATCCATGTCGTGGACCTGACAGGATCAAAAGTGTCCTCCAAAGGTAAGACCAGGGTGTAGTTCTCCAGACCATACTTAGGAGCGTAGTCGTACCTTGCCATCACCACAAGCCCTCAGGCGATAGGGCTCTATATCAGAAACTAAGAAAATAATGTAATTGAGCTAAAAACGAAAAGAAAACACGCGGTTAATGGGAGGATTTTAGTGGATAGTCAGAGAACCAAAAGTTGCAGATGTAGTCGTCAACAATCGGATGGAGGGGCGTGTCAGCGTGACGTGGATTTTGGAGCAGAGCCAACTCATTTTCCACCAATCACTGGTCTTCTTATCTGACAACGACTGTCGGAAAACGATCTAGCGCCGCGCCAGAATCTTAGTCACCCTGGCACGCCCTTTAGCTGAGGATAGCCACTGTAATGTCCCTACTTTTGTCGCAAGTTGGCTAAGGAGACACTTTCAGGAATACTCGTGCAAAACCGAAATTCCCATAGTGGAGGTGAGCCTTCTGGGAGTTAATAGCCTTGAAGGGGAGTCCTAGCGCAAAAACGGAAAACGTCATTCAGGCTTCAGGTTAGCCTAATTCATACTTTGCGTCAGCTTTCAAGCGTTCCAAGCATACGCAGCGTTTCGAGCGATTAAGAACGTATAGGTATTGATCTAGCGCTTTGAGCGTACGCTACGTTTTCAGCAACTGCCCGCGAAAATTCAAAACTACCCGCGAGAACGCTATAAACGCAGTCGCAAAGTATGGACGCAGCCCTATTCTGGTTGCCCAACCCCGGAAGTCCTTCCCTTTGATTTCACACAAGAGTCAACGTCTTCGATGCGGTGTTCCAATTTTCCACGAAAATCTTTCAAGTACAACCCCCAAAGGTTATTAGAACTCATTTTTGTGTAAGCTAAGCAGTGGAAGAGCTAAGGAAGGGCTGATCCAGTTCCTTTAAGCGAGGTGGTTTCCCATTACGTCAAGCACATTTTGCACAAAGATTCCTTCAAATGGCCCCTCCCGTAGCCGACTTGCCCCTCGAATTGTGAAAAAGTTGATCAGTGGTTACATCTGTGGCTAACCGACGACTAGATGAAAGGATATCAAAACCGAAAACAAGTGGCGACATTATCGTACGAGCGTGGAACAGGTTCTCTCAGTGTAACATGGATATCCTTCCGTGGACAGTGACGCTATGCGCTCATGATGATAGTGTCAAAGTCAAGTCCAAAGAGCGCTATCGGAAATTGGGAAGAAAAGGGATGAGAAGGAAGGAATAAAATACAATTGTAGTAACACACGAACCATAGCTAGAGAATCGAAAACGAACATGCGAAAGTTTGTCTTCGAATTCAAATTTGAGAAACAAATATTGGAACAAACAGAACGGGACCCGACGGCTAAACGCCACCCAATGGAAAACCCCCTAATGATAAGCCTATTGCGACTGCGATAAGTCCTGATAGCGAGCTGAGTCACTGACGTGTCGAAAGAATCATAGCAGGTCAAACACGTTCATGCACTGAAAATGGAAAACGAAGCTGGTCGGGTAAGAGGGGGCACTTCATGACGTTAAGGTAGCTGGGAGAACCGCTCATAAGCGCCTCCGTACAGTTACACAGAGGAAACATTGTTTCCACTTAGCCTGACCTTAATTTGGGGAAAGTGAGTCCCCCTTTCCCACAACCACGTTAGAACCCATTTTTTCCTCTTAATGTGCAGGCAAATCTACGAAACTACTGCAAGAAATCAGAGGATAAGAAATTTGTCTCTCGCGGGTCATAGTCAATGGAAAGAAGCAGAAGAAGCAAGGAGCGATGGAAGGGGAGGGGCATAGGAAGGGGCGGTTCGATCAGACGATTATGACCCCTCCTGCACAAAAGAATCGCTTCCGGTGATCTCTCTCCCCTTGGACTTAGCTAGAAATTCTCACTTTTTCTGACTTAGCTAGAAATTCGCATTTCTGGTTCGTCTTCGTTTCTTGGCAAAATTTGGGACCAAATGCTCCTCAAACTCACAAAAAAATTCAAAAACTGGCACTGAAATAAAATTACCTCGTGGCATTACAAGCTGAGCACGTCGTACATGGGATTCACACGAGGTCGCTGGAGGAGGGGGGTTCCTCGAGAAAAATGTTTTCAGTTGCCGAATTTTCTCGAAATATCCTTGGTTAAAGCTGGAAGTTTCGAGAAAAATGGTAGGGAGCTGGGAAATTTTGGAAGCTGCTTGGTATTATGAGAAAAAAATCCGAGGGGGGGGGGTAGTACCACAGAAGGAAACCTTGAGCTGGGCTCGTATTTTGAAAAAATTTTGTAGCGGCAGGAAGTGCTGTTTACAAATGTTCACCAGCTCTTTACAAAATGACCGGCACGTTGACAAGCGCAAACAAAACGCCCCCACTTAGTCCATTTGCACCTACAAAGTTCTGCAAAATAAAAAATAAACAAAAAAACGAAAGGATAGGGGAAATCACATTGAAATCCTAAAACCAACTGAGGTTGAATCAACTGAGAGGATTACGGTGACTGCGCGGACCCTTTAAGGGGAGCATTATCTTTGGAGCAAAGAATCTTTGACCTGACTGGGGTCGTAAGGGCAATGACTAGACACAAGTGCGGCAAACATTATCGGGCCGATAAAATAAAGTGAATCACCCGCCCAGCGATGATAGGGGATTGATTGTGCAAACTTTGGCCGATTTGGAAGAAGGTGGTCACGGAAAGGCAAACGTCCAGACGTCAAAGAGCAGAACGATCTTGGAAAGAACGTGTTCTATTGTGGTAAATGCTATTATATGTATTCGATCCTGCAAGAAAAGAAAACACTGGAACGGGAACGAGTTGAGCAGCTCCCACAATGACACTGTGACGGCGTGGGAATTCTCTGTGTAAGTAGGTCAGAGCAGAGGCGCGGAACGAGCCGAAATGTGGGTTTGTCGCGGGTCGCACATTTGGCCTTTACAGGGTCGCCCACAATGTGAATAGGGGGAGGATTGCATGGCAGCCCTCAATCGACACCGTAAAAGATTAGATTGGCCTCAGATGGCGCACGTACGTATCGGGTGCAAGGAGTGCACATAGGAAGAGAGGCATGAGAGGTAACAGAGCACGCCTCCTCTGGCCGCGAGGCCATCGGTGAACCCTTCGCAGCATTGCCTGGCAACCCCGCCGCGAATTTAATAGAAGAAATTCACCTGCTCGATACACCGTAGTTTCAGAGTTGCAGCTTCCCCCGGATCGAGAGTAGGGGTTGTATTTCTTCCGATGAGAATTTTTTGCCGTTAATTATTCCTTTTTTTGGACATGAGGTGGTGTAGTGACCAAGTGGCGCGCTCACCACTCGCGCGGTCCTGGGTTCAAATCCCGGGTCGACTCCCGCCCAGGCCAACCAAGCCTTCTACCCCCGGGGACGGTAAATTGGTACCAGATTCGTCTGGAAGGATAATCACCATTGGGCTGCCCCCTCCCCCCCCCCCCCAAGTCATTGTATAGGCCACATCGCATTCAATAAGCCACTACGATTCTGAATGGAAGTAGAATGCGTGCCGCATCCCACAAAGGGATTGATCAACGGCGAAGACTTTATCCTTTATCCTTTGAATTATTCCTTTTTAAGACGCTCGTTATATAATGTTGACTTTTCTCCCGCCTCCAACTCCCCCCCCCCCCCCCTCCTCCCCCAAGTAGACAATGGGACGACTTGCGGATACAGTTCCCGACGACATCCGAGCCGGGGTGTTGCGCGTAAACCAACTAGTATTTCTCGATAGTCATTGACAAAGCAATATGGCGTGACCACTACGTCTACGGAAAACAGTTGAGTAATGAATGTGATCTGACAAAAACCGGTGCTGACGTAGGCGCGTAGGGGGGGGGGGGATCGCTCGCCAGCGCCTCGTACCCATGAAAAGCATGAGCGCTATAATTGGGTACTCGGACCACAATGCTAGCAGTGTGCTA